GTGCTGCCTGTACAGCCCCCGGCCCGTACCGCGCTTCGTGGGAGAACGGGGGCTCCTGGCCGGTGATGAGTTCCTGTGGTTCCCTTCAGCAAAATACAGCCGGGCTTTGGCGTAGCGCAGTTTGGATCTTGTGTGACTGAAGAGCAAATGCGAAGTCCTAGATTAATGAAAGCTCGTAATGAGTAAAGTAGCATCCAAATGAATTAGTCTTTAAGAAAAGTCTGGGTTTTTTCCACTAGAGTGACCGGCTTCTAATCAAAGGAGGAAAAATTGTCAACGATGATCAGTCATTTTATGCAGACATTTATGTGGAAGACGGTTTAATAAAGTAAGTTAAAAATTTATATTTTATAATGCAATTTTCAGGCATGATACAGTGCCATGGAGTTTGAACAAGGTTCCCTTCCGTCATTTTTCTCATGGATATATGTTCCCTTTTTGAAAAATAAGGACAGCTCTTTAGAGAGTGTCCCAGCAGAGCTGCATTAGTGTCCTTCTGTGGCTGGAGAGGCGTGCGAGCTGCCCGCAGCTTGCGCTCGGCAGGTTGTGCCGGAGACGCGTGGGGAGCCCGGCGGAGCCCTGCAAAGCAGCCGGGCAGCAGCAGCGCGCAGGGTCGGGTGCCGACACCTCCGCAGCCCCCCTCCCTCCCGGGGGAGAGCCCGGCCCCGGGGTGCGAGGAGGCCTGGGCAGCGCGGGCGCGCGCCGTGAGCAGGGCGTACAAGTTGGGTTTGAGTCTTCGCTTCGAAGTTGCTGCCGGCTCACGGGAAATCTTGCATCGTTTTCAGACAAATCGGAGAAAACCTGATTGTTCCCGGTGGTGTGAGGACGATTGATGCCTACAGCCAGCTGGTGATGCCGGGGGGGATAGACGTCCACACCAGGCTGCAGGTGCCCGCCATGGGGATGACCCCTGCGGATGACTTCTACCAAGGCACGAGGGCAGCCCTGGCAGGAGGCACCACAATGATCAGTAAGATGGAGCAGCGTTCTAGCGGACTTCTAAGTAGAACGTTGCTTAACAAAACACGTCGGGCCTTTTGTCGTTGCAGGGGTTATTCGCCCACCTAGCAGAGAAACGTTGATTTTTTTTTTATTTTTTTTTTTGCTGTAGAAATCAAAGCATTGCAAAACCCATTGAAAGGCATTCTGTGCCTTTCGGAACCTCCTTCCATTGCTACACACATAGATTAAAAACACCCAGTCGCTCCCGCTTCGCCTCCTAAGAGAGCAAAATAGAAGAAAACTTTTAAACACCTTTTAATATGTTTTTCACAGCCTTGCAAGTGTGTTTTTGTAAGAGCTCTGAGCACGGGTTCCTTTTTTGAGCCCATGTAAAATAGTTTTGATTTCTTTTTTGTCCTTGCCCTGGTCCCAAGGCCCCCTGTAGTGACGGACCAGTCTCGGTGAGTCCCGGCGTAGCTCGGTGCCGACCTCACGGCCAATGCTGTAGGGAGTAGGAGCAAAGAGAAGTGCGGTAACCGCTGGGCTGTGGGTGCCCGCACACGGCAGCCGCCCAAGGGAGCCGTGCAAGAGTGTGCAAGGACGCGCTCGGGCCACCGGCCTCTCCCAGCCGCTGTGCTAGGTAGGCTGCCTGGGAAAAAGGGGTGATAACAGCCCTAACCTGGAGTTCGTTTGTTCCATTTGCTCCACTTTAGCTGGGAAACCTATTATCCTTCGTCTTCAATCCGTGCTATAAAAACGAATTGGTATTGAAGCATCTCCTTTTCACAGCAGTAAAGCCTTGCAGGAGAGCAGCGGTGGCGGCTGCGCCCTGCGGGGGTCTCCCTAGCCCCCTCCCTGGCAGGCCTGCTAACGCTGTGCAGTGTCTCCCCAGTCGACCACGTCTGCCCGGACGCGGGGACGAGCCTCCTGGCCGCCTACGAGCAGTGGCGCGGGAGCGCCGACCGCCAGGCCTGCTGCGATTACGCGCTGCACCTCGACGTCCCTCGCTGGCACGAAAGCCTGAAGGAGGAGCTGGAAGCCCTGGTGAAGGACAAGGGTAAGGACAGAAGGGGCGGTGTTCTGGCGATAACCCCCCCCCCACATGGCAATTATTGCCGTAAGCAAGTGGCCGTAGGGTAAGCTCTGCCGGTTCCTGCTGCTCCGCCGTGCTCCTCTTGCCCAGGGCTAAATGGGGTGCCTGGAGGGGAGCGTGCCCCCCGCTATGGGGGTGCCAGCTGCCCGTCCTTTGCCACCCGGGGACAAGGTGTGCACCGGGGCTATTGGCACCAGATTCACACCGCCACGTCTTGTTCGTCTGTTCTCGCCGTTCACAGCCCAGTCCCGAGAACTGGGTTTGGAAAGTAAAGGAATGGTATCGGGCACCCTGCTGGGGGCTGCCTGCTGCACGGAGAAGTATTGCAATAAAACCGTGCAAGGCGGGGCCTACGGAATAAAACCGAGCTGTAGCCTTTCCATAGAGGTTTCGGTTGTGCCTGTAATTCCTGCACATGCTGGAGTCTCCGCTGGACGTGGCTTACTGGGAAGCAGGCAATGGGGCAGGAATTGATGCATTTCCTTTAATACTTCTTGCCATCTTTGGAACTGCATTTTGCTTTCAGATATGCTAATGTAGAGCTAAGTGACTCCAGTGCAATTTGCCACCTTGCAAGCAAGGGCTTAATTGGTCAATTAACATAGAAATTTGCAGTGAATCTCCTATTAAAATGCAGAAGTGATGTAGCTC